GGCTCACCAGATTTTGCCCTGTTTGCTATCAGTCCTCATCATGGGTGGCAGCGCCAGCCGAGCGGGCGCCTCAGCGGCCGGGGTTTCCGTCGGCTTCCCGCCAGGTCATTGCCGACGCCAGAGGAAGGCAGTTTGCATTGGGGACACGGGGACGTGCTCAAGCAAGCGAGCTCACTTTCCCAAACTTAGCACAGCATCCTATAGCTGGCCCGAAGTCCCATGGTGTTTGGAACCAGGGTGAGGTTGAGCCATCTTTTCCAGCTTGACAATGCAAGCGGGCAGCACTTGGAAGTTAAGGAAGTCTTCCAACTCTAACCTGTCAGCTGCCAAAAGCGTCTACTTCTACAGGAAGTGCGCGCCAACTACCCGCCCTGCCCAAAAAAAAGAAGGGGGACCGGGGGATGTTGGCTGACTTCCTCTAGAATTGCTCGACCGCTGGCCAGCGAGGTGACGTGGCGGGAGAACGAGGCGTCTCCCCTGGAGCCGTCGCAGAAGAGCGTGCTGTCCGATCCTTTGGACTCGCCCGGCGCCCAGCACCTCAGGACGTCTAAGCCCGGGATGCGCGCGCCTCCTGGTTCGGAGCTGGGGCACAGGTTCAGCTTGTTTGGCCCAGTTTGGCAAAAACATGATGGCACTGGTTGCTGGCGGCTTTGGAAACTGAGGGGGGAACCCCGAAAAGGGAAGGCCATACTTAGTCGACCCCCCGGTAGTTACTGGGATGCTGAAGGGATGGTAGAGGTGAATAACTGGCACAACTCCCCAAATGCCAACCAGGGGCTTCATTCGCCCTGAGGCCGACTAAGGCCTGAACGGTTGTAGGAAGGGGGTCTTTGGGAGGTTTGGTTGTGGCTGTGATACCAAGGGAATCCCCAAGACACGAGAATGGGATTCCCCACTGTGGTATCACAGATTTCGTGTGATTTTCGACGTGGGCATGTCGTTTTTAGGGAACTCCCTCCAAAAAACGCGAAATGGTGGTGTTCCTTGTGGTTTCCCTTTCAACCAACCCGAAAAAGGAAACCCTCAAAACAAGACGCATGTACGGAAACGACCAGATGGCAGTTTTCGCTTGATCGATTCCCTCAGGATCGAATTTTCCGATGAAGCCTTCTGGCCTCGCTGCCCCGTTTGAGCCTCTCAGGGAAGAAATCCGGTTTCCCCCAGCGAATGGCTGGTGTTACCCCCGAACTGGCACATATTCCGCACTCCCCGAGTTCACTCGGTGCGGAGTTGTGAGACAATGTCAACCTGTCTCCACGCAATGTCTTCTTGCGCTTGGCTGGAGAAGCCTGTGTGTGTGTGTGTGGGTGTGTAGTTGTGCGCAGTCGCATTCTGGGTTCCACGTCGCACGAGGATAATGCGGGCACCAGCTTAAGTAGTTTGGTAATTCGATGTTGCGCTTGCAACACTTTCCAACATAGCACGGCGATGTTGTTGCGGGATTATGCAGCGGTTCCACCATGTGCTCCTGACATCAGTTTCGTGGCATAGTGCGCCTGGTCATGATGCTTCTGGCAGCATGGCGATTTCAGAACGCCGCCAAACTATTCACATTGCGTCATCATGGCGACGTCCAAAATAATGAAATCGGAACTTGGCGCGCGTCATCGTGATGCTGGCCGTGTCATCAAGATGCTGCCAGTGTTCTTCCGATCCCGCATGTGTTATTACGATCCTGTTTGCTTTGGCGTGATGCTTGCCTGCGTCGCCATAATATTGTCCGTAAGCTGCTCCCGTTGCCGTGATGCTTGCTGCGTAATAATACCAGGCCCTGCTATCATGATCCTACCATGTCATGTTGATGCTACCCCTGTCCATCATCCTGTCTGCATCCTGATTTGTTTGTTGGGGCCGCTCCGAACCATTCCACCCAGGACTGAAAAAAGACAGCACCAGAATGCTGTGGACCCGGAGAGCGTAGGCTTGCATTCTGATAATGTGAGCTGCATGAAGGGTATTATGACAATGCGAGCGGCCCAAAAAAGACTTGGCAGCAGCATGATAAAGCCGACAAGATCAGAGCAATGCTCGCAGAACCCCAGAATGCGGCGACATCATGATGATACGATCGGAAACATGATGATACCATCATAAGGCTGCCCTCCTTATCATGTTTCTGTTAGCCTTAGCATGACGACGTCTGCGTGACGCAGCCCACCTGATCACGAAACATCGTGATGCTTCCCGCGCCATCATCACGATGCCCGCCTTTTTTAGAGCGCTGCTCTCGTTATCATGGCACGCGCTTCCCGACGCGTCAGCTGGCTTCTCGAACCTCCACTGTCTCCTCCATCCTGCAAGGCATGGTTGGAGCTTTTTGGGTAACCCTGACCCCTTCGCTTCGACTCCAACTTGGTGTCGGAACATGCCGGCTCAACATAACCTGAGTGCGTGTGTGTGTGTGTGTGTGTTTCGAAGATACGCGCTTCACCGTGGCTTGATGGGAACCAAAAGGAAAATCGCCAACCTCCCTCGCATTTTGACACATAGCCACATGTTGTTGGAGGGAGGGGTTTATGCGGAACACCCACCACATGTGATGATTCGGACCACAAGATTTGTCATAGAGCTTCAAGGACAGAGAGATGTAAAGTTTGAGCCGTGTATGGGCCACCAGGAATCGGCAGGTCCATGGTTTCATTTACCAGGACCCATGTCTGCGTCACACCGGCGGGGCCGGCCTGGCCGGCCTGGCCGAGTGGGGAGGGGTTTCCCTCTGCCAGGAAGCATTTGGGCGCTCTGAAACGAGAGGCCATCCCACTGCCTGCAGCTCAGACGGAGGCTTGACGCAGGGAAGCTTGCTTGGGCAGTTAATTTTTTGCCGCCATCTGCTGTAATAAAGGAGAGGACATTGGGTACACTCACCAAATTGCCGTTAGGAAATGGAGGCTGCTCACGAATTCCAATGCAGTTGGGCAATCAATATTGACTCTGTGTGGCTCAACTAGAGCCTCTGTACAAGTTGTTGACCATTGTTTTGACTGTTTCTGTTTCTAGGGCTTGGCAAAAATTAAACACAGCGGTTGCCGCCCTTTTTCCGAACATTTCGGGGTGACTTGGGGAATGGGGAACTACGTAACGGAGTCAGCCAAGCTGATAGGACAGGTTCGCCACAGCCACAAAGGGCTCCACCATTTTGAGAAGTCTACAGAAGAGCACCGATGCGCACGGCCAACGAATTCACTGAGGCCGATGTTCGCCAAAGCGCTGGGTGTGCACATTGCGAAGCATGAAGTGACTGCAAGGGCCTCATGTGATGAAAACACATTTGCTTTCACTAGGGGGGAATGGGTTCCAATAGACGAATCAGTTTCGATCGCTTGCACAGGAGAGTGTGCGCCATCTGACACGCACCCATTTGATAGAATCCACTGAGGTCACCCAATTACTTGGGTAATAGAGGAGGCAATCAATCCTTGAGCACGTAGGGAATTTGAAGGTTTGCGCCTGTTGGAAATTGCAGAAGAAGAAGAAAGAAGCAGAAGAAGCAGAAGAAGAAGAAGAAGAGGAAGAAGAAGAAAGAAGCAGAAGAAGAAGCAGAAGAAGAAAGAAGAAGAAAGAAGATGCAGAAGAAGCAGAAGAAGCAGAAGAAGCAGAAGAAGAAGAAGAAAGAAGCAGAAGAAGAAGAAGAAGAAATACACAGAAAAAGCAGAAGAAGAAAGAAGCAGAAGAAGCAGAAGAAGAAGAAGCAGAAGAAGAAGAGGAAGAAGCAGAAGAAGAAGAAAGAGGCAGAAGAAGCAGAAGAAGAAGCAGAAGAAGAAGAAGAAAGAAGCAGAAGAAGAAGCAGAAGAAGAAGAAGAAGGAGGAAGCAGAAGAAGAAGCAGAAGATGAAGCAGAAGAAGAAGAAGAAGAAAGAAGCAGAAGAAGCAGAAGAAGAAAGAAGCAGAATAAGCAGAAGAAGAAGAAGAAGCAGAAGAAGAAGCAGAATAAGCAGAAGAAGAAGAAGCAGAAGAAGAAGAAGAAGAAGAAGAAGAAGATAGAAGCAGAAGAAGAAGACTAAATAAGCAGAAGAAGAAGAAGAATAAATAAGCAGAAGAAGCAGAAGAAGCAGAAGAAGATGAAGAATAAATAAGCAGAAGAAGCAGAAGAAGCAGAAGAAGAAGAAGAAAGAAGCAGAAGAAGCAGAAGAAGAAGAAGAAGAAGAAGAAGAAGAAGAAGAAGAAGACGAACAAGACAATTACGAGTAATGCAACCACTTTACGAACGCTTCAGCTTTTGCTACCCCAAGTACAGGGACCAATTGTTTGAGACCTGAAGATGGGCGCAGATATGCAGTCCTGGGTTTTAGGCGCCATTCCATTTGTGAGGGTAAAGGTGGTGACTGAACCAAAATGAAGGTGCAACAAGCCAACCTTCAAATCAACACATGGAGCTCGGAGTACCGAGCTTGACGGTTTGCGACCTGTTTTGGAGTTCGGATGGGTCAGGACCGCGAGGACGGCACCTTTTTGGTGACCACCACCATCGGAGGCTACTACGGCGGTGAGCGCACACCTCAGGTGGTTTTTTGGTTTGCGTTGAGCGTCAAATCTGGGAGCCCCGGAGCTTCTTATGCTTTCCCTTGGGAGTCCTTTAGGCCAACCACAAAAATATTTACCCTCAAAACAGACATGCTCATATAAGCGGCAATACAAAGTTCAAACAAGGAAACGTGCGGTAAGTGACGAGGATAAGGATAAGACCACGGCGAACCAATGGGAAGTCTATCACTCGACTATTCATCCAGCAGCAGTGCTGTATAAGACATTTCTAACACGATTTGGACAGCTATTTGGAAGCAGAAGGGTATTATAATGGGAACTTTCCGACACCACTTTATCATTAAATTGCTAGTAGTATGTTCATTGTACATTCCCATAATCAGTGCTAACATTGTCTTTAGAGTAACCCCTTCCAATTATTTAGCCTGCTCTATTGTCGTACCATGGAAAGGGGGTGTGTTTGTTGTCGGACTCAATTCCCTGACCGTGGTTGGCTTGGATGGACAGCCAGAGGGCCGCCACCGTTAAATGGGGTGGTTTCTCGACTCACAATACCCGAACAAAGCGTGTCCTATGCTAAATACATCCATGTTGGCGGGGTTGACACCGTATTTGAAAAAGACAGGTTTTGGGACTGGGGTGCGTGCATCAGGTTGTAGAGTATGGCTGTTGCCCTCATACTCTTTAGAGGAGTTTCGGCAAAGCCTTCAGACCCGGGGGGAACCCCCAAAAACAGAATCAATCCCTTGGGGAATGGCCGGGGTCGCTCTTTGCATTCCTTGCTGCGTTTGTAAGCAAGGAGTTGCGACACACTTGAGCCTGCCAAAGTGTGGCCTGCTGTGCGAGCAGAGCAATGTTTTGTGACGGCGCATTGCGCTGAGCCAGAAAGAACAGATTTGCAATCGAAGTCAACCCGCCCTCCGATTCTTCGCATTTGCAGACCCCGTTTAATACCAGGTGTTGATTGTGAACTCATGGGAAAATCTGAGTTCTTTGCCAGCACGGAGCAGCCTTTTCCGCCAAACTATGAATTTCAATAGGGAACTCTCTGTGCTGCCTAGGGTGGATGTGAACTTTGTCCACAGCTATGATCCGGAGACCAACACTTGGGCCAGGCCCTTGGTGATCCGTCAATACTCTTCCACCGAACATGGCTTGGTGCAACGGCGTTCCTTGTCCATGTCTGTGTTTGAGGGGTACTATCCTTTTCCTTTTTGGGTTGGTTTGACAGGAAACCAAAAGGACTCCACTCATATTTTGGGTCCCCAACTTTGACACATACCCATGTAGTCTTCCATCCAAAAGGAAAGTCGTGTTCCAGCACGAGAGTGTTAATTTTTGAAACGGTACGCGTTTCTGGCCGGTTCGAAGGACAAAAGGAAGCCCGAAGCCATTTTGGGAGTCCAAACAAATTGACCTCGCAAGGCGATGCTTAAGACCACCTTGCGCAATATAGGGAACGCCGTGCTAGGGATTTTACTTTTCTGTTGCATACTGTGGATGGACACAGTTCTGCACCAATCGGGATGACATTTTCTGAATTCCTTGGGAAAACCACTTACCGGCTGGTGTGGATAAGTATCTTTCCGGTTCTATTGAATGCCGGAATAACCCAGTGTTTTCTGTATTATTTTCTTTTGGTATCCAAGACTGATGCGTGACCCCTCCCTTTGGTGGGCTCCCGGCTATGGTCAATTTCTAGCTTTCGGGCTCACAACTTGGCAAGGGTTGCTGACTCCCTTCAGTGGCAGCAAGGGCGTCTTGTGTGTAATGCAAACCGCCAATGTGCCAAGGTCAATACTGAAGTGGCTCAGGGTTATGGTTCCCTGGAACTCTGATACTGGCTGCCCGCATTTTCTGAACACCCATGTTCTCCAAACCCTGCCAAGCCAGAGAGATCTCACCTCGATCCCAGACGCAGAAGTGCGACCGCGATCCCGGGCTGCAGAAGGTGAACAACCAGGTCAAATTTAGGCCGCGCTGGCAATCGGCGTGTCGCTTTTGGTGGTGTCTTTTTAGGGTGCAGAAGGACACGACAGGGTTGGAATGCCATGCCCCGAGCGATGCAATGGGGGCCGCTTTTGGCAGTCCGTGTCCAGGCTGCATTCCTCGCCCCGCCTCGCTTGGCCCTGAGATGAGTCAGGCTTCTCCGGCCTCGGGAAAACACGCCCGTGCTTCGTTTTGGTTGGCGGCAATGCTGTGGTCATGTCAGGTTTGGTTTTTGCTCTGTTTTCCAAAGGCCGATTCCAATGTGAAATGGGCATGGCAGGTGAAGGCTTGATTTGCCAGCACCGATTTGTAAATGAAAGGCTGGGAGCAGGTGGGAGCATCAAACTCCTGGTGCCCTCGGTGGTTCAATGCCAAGATCGAGATGTGGTGCGTCAACGACGAAGCCCGCAACTCTGGGCCGGAGGCCAGATTTGTTTAGGGGACTCTTAGCGGGTTCCATCTTGCACCAAGGGACTCCGAAAGGAATCCATTCGTTGGAACCCAGACCCACTTGTGTCTCTGTGCCGGGGTAGGAAAAACATGTTGCCCAGGGGTAGGGGAAAAAATGGTTATAATAGGGGGTCTGGGGTAGGGTATTTACAAGTTGGGGCTTCAGGGTTCAGGGAAGAAATTAAACAAGCAACCCATTTTGTTCAAAACACAAATAGGGGTTTTGGGGAATTTTCCTAAAATGTCTCAACATTTTTTTTTACAATTTTTTCATTATGAAACAGTCTAAGATATTGACATTTTCAAGGTTCGGGTTTCAGACAATTTTAAGGCTTTCTGGGGTTTCAAGTGTTTAATCATATTATAAGTTAATATGAATAAACTTAATCTTAATCTCTATAATTAAACCAGTCTATAATCAACCTTTTCTTTTCTAACAAATGACAGACAAATTTATGGTAAAACTCATTATCAAAAATGTTTTTATAAACGACCTTGTCTTTGTTTTTTATATATTGCCATTTCAACATTTTAAGAAAATCCCTACACATCGAGATGCTAAAATCTCTACAAGATACATACGCGTCATTATGATTAAAAAGTAAATTATAATGAAATTGAGTAGCGGTTTCATAATACAAGATTAACCTATTATCATATCCATACTCTTTTAAGGTTTTGTCTAAACCTGTTGTAAATATTGTCCGTAATGACTTTTTCGTCGGACATTTATTTAACCTCGTCATATACCAAATCCACTTATCCATTTCTTTTAAATTGTCAGGTTCGTTTTTCATTAAATGTTTTGTAATGGTACATCTTTTACAACATACAAAACTCAAAATATTATCAATGATACAGTCAGGAGATATGTCATTTGCTTTTTTGACTTTGTTGTTGTATATCTTACAACCACGGCATTTTACAATTTCTTTTGTCAATTCTTCTCTGATACACTTATTCATTTTTTTTCTTAATATATTAAGGGGTCATTTCTTTAAGTAGTTTTATTTTTTCTTCTTGCCTCTGCTACTTTTTGTGTCAGCGCTTTCTGGGCTTCTGCTCCTGCTTCTTGTTTCCATTTGTTCCCTCGTCCATTCACTACCTCTTGCTATTTCTTCAGGTGACCGACTTCTGCTTCTCGTTTCCATTTGTCTTATACCCCATTGTCTGCCTCTTGCTCTTTCTTCTGGTGAGTGACTTCTGCTTCTTGCTTCTACCTGTCGTCTTGTCCAGAATGATGCCCTTGGTTGTTCTTCTTGTTCTTCGGATTGAATGGACGGTGAGGATGACTTCTTTTCTCGTTTGAATAATTCAAACACACTCTTGTCTTCTCCACCTAAAAATATGTTTCTTAATGACTTTATTTCTCGGCTTTCCTCTTTCTTCTCTTCCTCTTTCACGGTTGATGCTGACGATGATGATGTTAAATGAAGACTTTGTAAATCTTCCTGCTTTTCATCTTTTGGTTCATCTTTTGGTTCATCTTTTGGTTCATCTTTTGGTCCTGAAATTGCATTACTATAAATTTCATCAGCAAAATCTTTTGCTATATATCGTGTTGTTTGTGCGTCTGCCTCGTTGTTTTCATATAACTGTGATGTTGGTGCTACTTCATCAAACATATCAGGGAACAATTCATGTTGAAGAACTTGTTTATCAGTTTGAACCCTAGCATTCAATCGTAGTCTCCTATCGTATTTTGAAAGATCAAAATCATCAAAGTCTATATTATTAATTGATTTGTCAAATGTCTGTCTTTCAGGGATAATTTCAATTTTTAATCTGTGTGTCATCGCTTCTTTCAGCATTTCATCAAATGTAGGGCGTCGTCTTAATCCATAATATTTATCAGTCATATCAAATATTATAGATTATTTATTGTTGGATTGCTTTATGGACGAAGTATTTATTATAAACATTGTCCTCATAATATTTTTGTAGTTTAACCTTCACTGCGTTTCTATCTACTCCTGTTGTATTGTTATATTCATCTAATAATTCTTTGAACTCATCATATTTAACAGCGTTAATTACATTGAATTGATGTAGTTTTGAAATTATACTATCCATTAAACTTCTTGGATTTTTTGCTAAATATACCGGCCACATCCACTTTATACCACTTAAATAATTTTTGAAAATTCGTTCGTCATCAACTTCTTCATTTTCAACATTTTTTAATTCTATTTCGATTGATTGTTCTTGCATTTCCATTATCTCAGCATTAGTAATGGTTGTTTGCGCGTCATCGTCATCATCCTTACCTTTTTTCAATGCTTCTACTTCAACTACAGGGTCGTCTTCTTCTTCTTCTTCCTCTTCCCCTTCCTCTTGTTTAGTTAACGGTTCTAATTCTGGCATTTCATCAGCGGACACCATTGAATGAATTTCTACACCTTCTGGTATTGATTGTTTTGAAACAGCACTTGCCATTTCTTCGTGTTGTTCTCTCCAAAGTCTCATTTTTTCAGCAAGTTCTTCTTTCTGTTTGTTTGCTTCCGTCAATCTTTCATTAATGAAAGACTGCTGTTGTTTCAGTGTGTCATCAAGTTTAGCTCTTACACTACCACCGTCCGACGACGCTTCTTTCATAACTTCTTCTCTTCTGTTCAGTTCTTGTTTCTTCTGAATATCCAAAGCATCTTTATTATCAAACTGACTACCGTATTGATTTAATCTGTATCTGGTTGCTTTTCTGTCTATTACATTTTCAATTGATGGACGGTTCTCATCTCCTACTAATGTTTCTTTCAATAATTCATCATAAGAAGGTCTCAAATGTAATTGTGATTTCAATGACCCTACTTTTACCGGTCCTACTGTATTCAATCTATTCATTGATTTAATCATAGTATATTAATTATTTAGAAAAATAAATTAATCAGAGATATTCTTAATCATTTCTTCTAAATGTTTCTTTCTTACTGTTAGTTGTTCCTTTGTTTGTATTCCGTCTGGTGACCGTGTGTTGTCTAATATGTTTCTTATTCTGTCTAACTCTTTTCTATAACTTTCGGTTCTGTTGCTTTCAACTAAATCGTTTCTATACTTTATTAATGCTCCTTGTGATTGTTTCGCTTCCAGTGTGTCCTTCAACTGTTTAAAGTAATTCATACGCGAGGCAACTCCCCAAAAATCTGAAACGTCATAATGGCGTTCTACTTGTGGTGCTCTTTTGAATTCTACATTTCTATGACTTCTCATAAGCATAATTGTTATATATAATAATTAGATTATTATTTAAAACATTGATAAAGTTAATTTATTTATTTTATCTGATTTATCTTGCTTTTTCTTTTGTTTAAGTTCTTCATAATGTTGGTTTAATAGTTCTGTTGCTGTGGGTTTCTTAATGGTTTCTTTAATCACTTCTTGCTTAATCTCATTCTTAATTTCTTCTTTTACTTCTGGTTGAATTTTTCTAATATTCTTTTGTGGATTAACTGGTAATAATTCAGTAGGCACACCCTTACAATTCTTAGGATGTGAAAAACGAAGTGATTTAGCATTCATAGATTTACCACATTTTTCACATTGGACTACTTCAATTTCTTTCTTTGTTCTTGGTAATGCTTTTGCTTTTGCTTTTGCTTTTGGTTTGTCTATGGTTTCTTTTGTTGGTTCTTCTGGCGTTGGTTCTTCATTAACTGTTTCATTTTGTTCAACAACCTCATTATTAATAGGTGCTTCGTCTGTTTTAGTTTCATTATTAACATCTACTACCTCAATACTTGTCATATAATATATTCTATATATTTTCTATTAAATTTCTATATAGAATATATTTAAATAATATCACTTTTTACGAAAAGGAGACTCAGACTAACATTAACCCCATTCAAATTAATTTCATTACCTAATGAATTAGACAACCAGAAGTCTAACTGTTTAAAGCTTCTATTTGACACATCCAAGTAATCGAGAGGGTTCATTTCATTATCAAAGACAATTCCCGCGTGTGGTGCTGTGACTGGCACTTTCTTAACAACTGTGCTATCGCCTGTCCTTAAATTTACTTGATTATAATTAGACAATTGAGAAGAATGAATATAAATATTTCTAATAGGTTGAAGATTAACGAAACCAGAAACATAAGCATTACCATATTGATAAACATTCATTTGATAATTTCCTAAAACTTCATTAACAGACTTTAAATCATTAGCATCAAAACTTCCAATCCAAATATAACTTTCATATATTATCTTCATTTGTTCATCAGTTAATACTGCAAATTGTCTATCGGCATAGTTTGAAGAAATCGTCATTTTATTAGTTTTTACACTGTAAGTAACTTCATAAGTATTTGAGAAATTGACATTATCAACAATACCGTTAATTTTTGTTTTTAATTCTGTTGCCAGTTCTGTACCAGTATAAACTCCTTCTGCCAATGCAACAGCAATCCAATGAACATTTGTATTATCTTCATCTGGAACTAACGGAGAAGAATAAAAGTATAGTATATTATTTAATCCTGACTGTATTGAATACCACGAGTTAGGTAATGTTACTTCGTGAATGTAGCAATGAACCCCGTTGTCTGTTTGTAATGTTTCCGGCAATTCAACTCTAAAATTTGATGATGTACCTCTAATCCTATGAGCACTGTCAATATAGACCTTCTTATATGTGAGCATTATTAATTAATTTAGAAATTAATTTATAACTTTAATTATATGATTAATAATAAAAAGTTAATTTATGAAATGAAGCATGGGAAAATTAAACATTATCAACCTTATAAGAAAACAACTAAAATAACTAATGTTATGAAACAAACTGACAAAATATGAAATAGTTATTATCCTAATGCTAATTTAACTGATGCACAAGGGTTAAATAGAGCATATGGCAATGGTAAAGGTTTTTATATTGATGGTGATAAAATGTATGTAGCAGGAACATTCGGAAAAGGAACGTTTGGCGGAGCGGTTAATGACATTCTGGCAGATGTAGGACTTCCCTTTA